CCCTGACATTTATCCAGTTAATTCCCCTTTTCCTTAAGATTGATAGAGGCTATTCCTGCTGTTTGCCACTAAGAACTTCTAATTGATACTACACTGATGTTGTTCTACTATGTATTACATTTAGCTCCAGCAAATTCTAGGCTATGGGGAAAGTCTAATTATTAAAGGGTAAACTAAAGAGTTGGGCTTTGGGAAGCACAGAAACCAGCCCTCCAGAACTGTGTGCCAAGGAAGATGAGTACTGTCATTGAGATAAGTGCATATCAATATTTTTCAGTCCTTGAATCATCACTTTGTTCATTCCAGGAACAGAGTGTAATGGACCGGCTAAGTTGAAGGGTCTGTGGTAGGCAGGATAATGGTCCCCCCAAAGATGTCCATGTCTTCATCCCTGGAGTCTGTTAATGTGACCTTACATCACAAAAGGGACTTTACAGATGTGATCAAGTTAAGGTCCTTGAGGTGGAAAGATTATCTTGCATTATTTGGGTGAGACCAGTTAATCACAAGGATCCTAAGAAGTGAGGAAACTTTCCCAATTGGATCCAAGAGATGTGACTATGAAAGCAGGATTAGAAAGATGTTACTAATTATGAGATTGCTGTTTTTGAAGAGGGAGGCAGGGGGTCACAAGCCCAGGAATGCAGACAGCCTTTAGGAGCTAGAAAGGGCAAAAAAAGGGGTCTTCTCTAGATCCTCCAGAAAGGAATGCAGCCTTGCTGACACCTTGATGAAAGTTTTGACCTACAGAGCTGTAAGATAGTAAATTTGTGTTGCTTTAAGTTGAACGATTTGTTAGGGCAGCAAATAGGAAACATATAAGGTTCATCCCTTGAGCTGGAGAGGACATTGCTTTGATTGACAATCTACCAAGGCTGTATCCCTTGGAGATGGGGGGACATTCCTGTATGAAGACAGTGTGCTACTAGCAAGTGAGGGAAAGGATGCTAGCCCAAAGGCTGAGAAGCAATGGAAAAGGATGTTGAATAAACAAAACATGGATGCCCACTGCAACCAACCACAGTAGCCCCTTGCACATTGGTTAATCAAAATCTGCCCAGTTGAATTTTTAGCACTGGAGATTGATTGGTTTAAATATTTTGGGTGAGAAGCCATGAAGAATTCGAAGAGAACTTTATAAAGAATGCAAATCTAATATATATATATTATATATGAAATATATATATATATATATATATATATATATATATATA